GAATCTCCAAAACCAAAAATCCAATTTCAAGCTTTTTCTTTAACTTGATCCAATGGCTTCTCTCTCTCTTCAGCTCCAATGAGTCACCAACCTCTATCCAATTTCGTTTTTGAATATTTATAGAATACATTAGAACCTTCTAGAGGCCCAATCAAAGCCCAATCCAAAAAATCCAAATCGAAAATTTTCTCCAAAAATTTCATTATGGTAAGCTCAAATTTGGCTCAAAAGCTTGCTTTGGAAGCTTCTAGCATCATACACAAAACCCCTTGAATAAGTTCAGCTTGGCTAGAGCCTTGAATTGCCTTTGTGAGTGATTTCTTGTGATGTTGCTTATTTGTGAAGAAACATGTCAAAACACCATGAATTATGAGTCAAATGAAAATTCTAACAATGTCAATCTTCTCAAAATATCATTTCTGATCAAAATGAGTGGTCATTTGCCTTTGTTTGAGCACATAACAATTTATTTGAATTTCCCACCAAATAAGGCCTTTAATTTCTCTTATTTCAAAACCACTTCAAGCCAATCTTTGATATGAGCCAAACCAATTCACCATGAGCTCTTGGTTAACCTAAAAACCATATTTTGAGCAAGTTCCATGTTGAACAAAATTGCATTTGAGATGTGCAAGTTGGAGATTTTGACCTATAATTGAAAATGGCCTATAATCTCACTTTCCCAAAATACCCCTAACTTGTAAACCTCATAACTTGAGTTCTACAAATCAGATGGAAGACTTCTAATACATTTTGGAAATCTAAGATCATGAGGAACAACTTTCATGTTCACCAGAAGGTCAGATGAAACTTCCTTCTAGGTCAACAATAGCCTGGAAGTCAGATGATTTTCACAGACAAATAACTTGAGTTCTATAAATCCAATGGAGGACTTCTAGTACTCAAATTAAATCTAAGAGCATGATCTACAAGCTTCATGTTAGCCAAAAATGGAGATGAAACTTGCATCTTGACTTACACGACTTGGAAGTTTGGCACTAAACATGGGATTTTACCCTAGGAACCCTGACTTAGCAACCCCAACCACTCTTGATTCTTCTCAACTTGATCTCTAAAAAATCTCTCATATGCCTCATCCTATCATCTCATGATCTCAATGACCTATAAGAAGGCTTTGATCTTCTTCAATCGCTCATTTTGGCCTAGGATTAACTAGATGAACCCTAGTGACACCAACTTCCACTATGGCTCTTGTACTTGCTACAAACATTTGATTGAGCTCTATCTTGATCCTCTAGGAACTCCATGAGCTCTATCCATACATCATATCCATATCCAAGACTTCACAACCTCTGATACTCTTCAAATGACTCCTCATGCTAGGAGATAAACCACATACAAGCAACTGAATCTCTTAAGAACCCAACCTTCCCCCTGATGATTATGGTGACTTCTCAAACTTGAATAACCCTCTGGCTAGGCTTCTCACTTGATCCCCTGTTAAATGAACAATGATATGCTATGCAAATGCTAATGATGATGATATGCTAATGCTATGAAACATAAACCAGGTGAGAAAAGGTTAGGAAAATTTTGGGGTGCAACACATAGTACCTTCAGGTCGACTCATGCTTGCTTGAGGTCGACGCATGCTAAGCCTTCGCAAAACCAAGGTCTCTACATGTTAGAGGTCGACGCTTAGACTATCATATGTCAACACATAAAAGCTAAAATGCTTATATGGGTCGACACACTAATGACTTGGGTCGACACATATTGTTTTAGAAATTACAATGCTTCACACACACATACATGCACACACGCACGCGCACACACACGCAAGCGTGAACGCACGTAAGCGTGAACGCACGTAAGCGTGCATGCACACAAATGTGCATGTCCACGCACGCACACGCTTGCTCGCACACATGCATTCACGCAAGCACACATGAATACACGTTTTCTCGCTCGCACGCATGTACTCATGTACATACAAACACACATGCAGTCACCCACACACACACACATGCGCACACACCCACACATCCACACACCCATGCACGCACACACACACACACATACACGTGCATTGCATATATAATTTTGTGTTGAAATATTTCAAATAATTTTGTTAGATAATTGCAATATATAAAATTGCAATATATAAAATTGCAATTGGTTTTTACAACAACAACAACAACACAAAGGAAAAATCAACTTGGTGTTCATTGCATACCAAGTGTTTGATAAATTGTCTTAGTCAATTTGTGTTTCTTAATTGATTATCGAAGTGCACAGTTGTTCAAACGTTATTTTTAAAAACACATTGATTTGTTTTCTCATTATTGTGGTGCGTTTATTTCATTTAGTTATAGTTTAATACGCATTTCTAATTTTTCTAATAATAATTTGGGTTAAACGAGTGTCGATCCAAAATCGCAAGCTAGAGGTGATGACAAGCAGGTGGGGCTCCATAGAGCTTATGCTATGAGAGCATACCTGCTATATTTGGTTGGTACTGCAGTTTTTATGGACAAGAATGACACTTATGTGGATGTCTTCTACCTATAGTACTTCGAGGACTTTGAGTGGATCCATGAGTACAACTTAGGGGCTACTTGTTTGGTCCACTTGTACTCGAAGTTATCATAAGGTTGTAGGTGGAAGACGAAGTAGGTGATAGGACCGCGCACTACTGACGGTAATATTTATTGGTCTTTTAGTGTTTGTGTGTCATTTTCATTACATTTTTGCAACGCCCTTACTGATGATTCGTGTGTTCCAACACTTTTCATACTTTGATCTCCATTACTTCCCGCGCATCTCCTGCTGGTCGTGTGTACCGAATTATACTAAGGATATGTCACGTGCTTCTGCATTTTTCCTGCTTAGAGGGAACCATGTGACATAGTTGTTTAGTGTGTATCTTGATCGCTTGGTTACGGTTCACCGTGAAACACAGCCATGTGACGACATAATGTTAAACTCAGGATGGTTAGTTTGCGGTTCACGACTCACATTCTCTCATCTGCCTAAGTGCGTCAGCGACAGTTCGACTACACTCAAACTATTCTCAGACACCCTGTTGTCTCTGCTCCTCCTGTTATGACATTTAGAGATATGGATGTCATGTTTGATGATTATCTTAGTCATCTGGTACTGAAGGAGGCACCGAGTACCATAGCTGAGAGCGACTAGACCTATGTCGACGAGTAATCAAGTGGTTCTTCAGGGTATCACATTTGTATATGGTGCATGCCGCTCTAGGATATCCACCGAGACCAACTCATCAAGAGACACTATATGAGTAGCAGGCACAGCTTATGATGTCTTACTTAGATGTCGTCACATTGTAGAGATTGTGCAAGCAAGAATTGACAAATGTATATTTCCTTATGGGTCTGGGGTGAGGCAGATCCTAGATGCCATTATGACGGAGGCACGAGAGGCATTGATGCATCAGTGACAACATCGAAGGACGAGGGACAGAGAAAACCGAGGAGCCCGAGGAGCTATAGTCCGACATGCGCAGTAGTATATAGTATTTGTACTTTGGATTTATAATTGATTGTATTTTATTTTGACTTATTTCTACTTTATTGTGTATTTCAACTTCATTGTGTATCGGTTGATGACTTATTTTGACCATTTGAATTTTATATATGTTTTTTTTTTTGCATATCAATTGTATGGTTTAATGTTCATCACATAATAGAGTCCTTAACATTTATAAATCGTCATTTTCATTTGAATAACCATAAAACTAACATTACTTGTATTGTTCTAATAGATTGCAAAGATGCATCTTTGTAAACCTTAAACATAAATGCATCTTCGAAACAATATATGTATAAAATAAACCTTTCAAAAAAGAATGTATGAGGTGTGTTTTAAATTTTTAAAATATTACAAAAGGTGCATCTCCAGATCCAATAACATTTAACATTTTGACTTGAGACAATTGCTTCTAATTTTTTCAACTCAGATTTATACCCAATTAATTTTAATCAAATTTTGCCTTTACCCTATTATTAGTTTTTTGAATAATGAGTAAACTCCTTTATATTCCTAATCCAATAGCTGAAGATTTTTACCACACGTCTTAGTTACTCTCCCAGACTTCTCTCATGCTCCTAACTTGTCCCACCAAAATAAATTAAACCCCTTTTGTAAATATGTATGAACCAGAGAGTCAACTCAAACATATATGGCTATTAAAATTAGATTTGTTGATTCAGCATTTCATTAATTGAAAACTCTTTTGATAGCAGCAATATTCAGCTTATAAAAAAAATATAGGAAGCAGTTTCAGAACTCTATATGCTGACTTCTAAGACCTATAATTAGAATGTTTATTTTAAAAATTTATAGTGACGGAGATTAGTTATGCAACCAAACGCAGTCAAAATCATTGAAAGAAGACTGAATAAACTTCCACTAGAATGCCTCCAATGAAAATCTTGCGAGAAAGAAAGGGTGATGCCCGGGACGGAGAGGGTTGATATTAGTTATAATAGTGTAGGCATCACATCATCATGTATAATAATGTAGGCATTCACAGCCTTAGAGAATGATGTGTTATACCATGTCTTTGAAGCGTGCAAAACAATACACTTTTTCATAATTAAAGTATAGTAAGAAAAAGATCTTCAGGCACATATTACACAATTAAATAAAGCTGCTCCTTAAAAAAAATCACATGTCATATGAAACTGGCAAATCTTCTTACTTAGGGCCTCTCAAAGTTTGAGACGGCTCTGAAGTCAGAATGGTGGAGGGTGGCAAGCAGTTGGTTAAGTGCTCCGAGTGGAAAGGCAGGAGGTACTAGAAGACCACAACAACTGTGGTGGAGAATTGAAAGAAAATTCACAAAAGTGGAACAGACTGCAAATGTTGAATTGAAAAAAATTCTCCCTATTTTATATTAGAACAGAGATTAATCCAACTGCACTTTCCATAAATCATATAGTATAAAACAAGATATCTCTAGAAGTAAAAGCACACTGCATACTTCAACCAAAACAAAACTTGTCTTCTACTTATTTCTTCTTATCACCTGCTCCACCAGCCCTGCACACAATAAAAAGATAACATATGAAGTCAATTTTCATCAAGTAAACAAAAATCCAATAATAAAAAAACTTGGCATGAAGTGCAACCTCATCTTTCGGAGAACGTTGGACATCTCCTCACGCTTCTTCTTTGCACGCTTATGGGTTCCAAGCTTTCTCTTTGCAACTTTCAGTGCCCTCTTATCCTTTCCGACCTTCAGCAATTCAGTGATTCGCTTTTCATAAGGCGCAAAGCCAGCAACTTCACGGATGAGGTTCCTTACAAAGTGCACACGCTTGCTTGTTTTCTGTTGAATGCAACATACTTGTTAAAACCAATCAACATCATCAAAGATCAAAGATAAAACAGAATCATACTTTAATCTTATTTTCCTAACTTGTTCATTTTTCACTTGCATTAAAAACTGATCTCATCATCTCATTTCTAATTAATAACTTTAAATGCAACTTTCATAATAGATAAATTGTAATTCCAAACGGAAAGCAAAATTGAAATCCTTACCCCTTTACGACTGGATGGGCGTGGAGCCAACTCCTTCTTGGTAACGATATGGCCCTTGTTCAATCCAACAACAATACCTGTACTCGCCTGCTTAGGAGCCATTTTGCTGAAAAAATAAATGTAATAATTCCCAATTCAAAAACCTCAAAACCAAATTCAAATATTGAAACAGAATCTAAGACCAATGTTAAACGAATCAAATAAACAATAAAATTGATAGAAAGAGTGACAAGAGAAGAAAGAGAGAAAGAAACGATTCAGGTACCTGCGGTAGCTTCAACTAGGGTTTTGAGAGTTTCAGCTTCGCATTTTATTGCAGGGAAAAGAGAAAGATGAAAACACATTTTATATCGGGTCGGGTTGTATGGGATTCAAAACTTTTTGGTACGATTATAGGTGTTACTTTTAGTACCCCTGGTTTTCTTTACACCCGCTAAAATGCTATATTTTTTAGTTTTATAACTGAAATTAATTTATTTTTATGATTTCAAATTTCATTTTAAAATTAATTTTTTGAAATAAAACAAGTATGGATTTGTTCAAAGATGTACAAAAATTATATTTTGGGAGTGGTCAAAATGTGCTGCATGCAATTTTTTTCTTAGCTAATCGATTAGTGTTTTTCTAATCCCTTAGAAATGTTCAAATTTAAGGCTCCATCTATCTTGAAAGTGTCTTGATTTAGTGCAACAATTAGAAATATTAAAAAATTTCTTTTTAAAACTTACACATGATTAATTACATCTTCTAATCAATTAGGTATAGGTATTAATCAATTAGATTGATACAAAATGCGTTTAATGAAATTTCCTTTTTATCCAACCTCAGACCTATAAATAAAGGTTTCATTTTTCATTTCAAATTATTCAAAATCGTGTTTTGATACTTTCATCTCTCTTACTCTCTCTCTCTCAAGATTTTTTTAAACTTTCTCTCACTATGTTTTTAGCCTAAGTGCTTTTGTGAGAAAATTTATTTTGTGAGTGGGATTACTTTTGTAATTATGGAATTGGTAGAATTATAAAATTTACTAGGGAAATCTTTTTGTGTATACCTTAGTTGAGTACTGTCCAATTAGGGATTTGATTTGGATAAAGCTAAACTCATAAAAAGTTTATGTTTAGGATTCGGTATTTCAGTCGTAGTTTAGGTTGGAAATTAGTCTGTATAAAATATAAAATATCGTAGGTTCTTGGTCAGCCTGGTGTTAAAACCAAGATAGGTTAAAACTTAGTCTTGTACTTAAAATCTTCACAGATTCGAGATCGTCCCAGTGTTAAAATCTCACTGTTTTTTGGTTAGCATGATTAAAACAAAGGTATTAACCTTAAAGGTTATGGAAAATGAAGATAAATCGCTCCAAGGTCTGTGTTTGTGGAAAGAAGACTAACCCTTTCAATCCACCATTTGGGAAGGAAGATTGGCCCTTCACTCTTAAGCTTATTATGAAGAAAAGATGCAAAAACACACATATCCATCGTCTTGTATATTGTGATTGAAGATCAATCACCATTTCATTGTATAAGAGGGTTCGTGAGTCTTTCCTGCTAAAAACTCTCAAAGTATTATTGGAAATTCTCAAGATCAATTATTAGGAAGAGGAGTTGGACCTTTTGTTTTTTTACTGAACCTCCATAATTCTTGGTGTTCCTTTGTGATTTAAATATCTAAGGGACTTAAAACTCCCAAACAGAAAAAAAGCTTTTGCCCGAGGGACTCAGTATCTCCTAGAGTGAGATAGCTTTAGAAGTCATGCCTAATGGGAATGACATGTATCCAGATTTTTTCTGCGGGGCTCGGTGTCCCCTAGCCAAGTTGCATGATACAATATCTAAGGATCTCAGCGCCTCGGTAGATAGGCCATATGGACATGGGTTAGTAAAAACCTAAATTCCCAAGGGTCGACAAAGGCCTCACAAGGGAAAACGCCAGTCCTCGGAATACTCTCATTAACCGAGATGAAAAACACTTCGCCATCTGCTGAAGGTCTTGTCATATCCTAAATTTCACCCTTAGATTCTTTAATCCTCCATATACCATTCTAGGTCAATCATATTGCATATCTAACCCAATTTACCATGCTTTGTTTGTTTTGTTTCATTTGTGAATCAGGGTTCGTTTCAAGTGGCTTCAAGAGCTGATAAATCAAGGTTTTGGATGGATCACTGACCAAGCAAGTTCTTATATTCTCAAGAGGCCTCCCTTCCTCAATAATACAGTGTGATATGGCTTCATCACAAATTCCTCGAGGCTCAGACCTTGCAAGACTGAATCAGAGATCAGGCAAGACTACCAGGTCAAGGATATGTGCTGTGTGGTTTGAAATTCAATGAAGTTTTGACCTAATTTTGGTCAAAGAGGTAGCTTGCTTCAGTATCAAGTATCAGGCTGTGGTAAAAAATACATTTGTGTCATAGCCATTTCAGTTTCAATTAGGGTTTTGGTGCAATGGCGGTTTCAGTTAAAGCCACTTATGTTATGGATTGTTTGGAGGACAAGAAAGTATCAGCTTCAAGGAGTTTATGTCTGCTAGTTGTCAAATGATTAAGATTAGGGTTTTGCGCCTGATCAAAGTCTATTTGATGACGTCAAGTGGTAGAGCCATCAAAGTTAGGACTTCTGGTTAATATTTCAAGGTATGATTCTTCAGGTCATGTTCTCATCAAGATTTGTTTCAAGTTGGAGTTAGGATGTGAAGTCATTCCCCATAGAATTGATTCAGAGTCTCAATGTAGTTTTGGTATGAGGAAGAATTCAGGATTTTGAATTTGATCTCAATGGTATTTTGTTGGTGCAAGTCAGGATATCGCATGTTCAAGATGGATTCAAGTGATTTATTTGTAGGCATTTCTCAAAATTTGAATCAGAGTTTCATTTCATTTCTAGATGGATTTTTAAGGAGTTTTCAGTGATGTTTAAGATTGGATTCAAGTGGTCTTGTGTAGAATGATTTCAAAGAATTTTGGACGATTCAACCAAGTCAAAAAAAATCCATCCATAACCAATTTCATAATCCAATTCAGTTTTTGTCCATTTCATTCTAAGCCATTAAACCCATCCATATTCCATTTTTGATTTCATACCCATTTTCAATTCTAATCCATTTCCATTTTTCCAAATTTAATTTATATATTTCCATCATCTTTATTCACTTTATTTTCTCATTTTTCTAAATCTATTTTCTAATCCATATCCACAATTTTCACATCAATTATCCATTGTTTCCTTTTTTATCCATGTAATATTTTTTACAAAAATTCATTACCACCACAATTCATTAAGTCCAATTCACCTTTTATTTTTATTATTAAAGTCCATGTACAAATACAATAAAGGCCATGAAGCTACATGATATGAATGTTCAAAAATTGAATTCCTAAGTACTACAATTCAAACTATGATACATACACATGACCCTACACACAACTTGGACCATTCGTACCACTTTCACAACCAAACAAGCCTCTGCTGTAAAACAATTGCCTGTTACGACCAAGGTACTCCAGGTTGTAAAACAACAACAACATCATGTCAATTCCCTGCTGCAATCTTCACCAAAACCATCCTACTACCCTGTGCATACTGTCGCTTCCGCGAAAATAAGGTGCCGGCAAGACAGAAGAGTTGCCACCTTTCGTTATTTATCCCTCAGAACGGGAAAGGAAACGATCGGAAAAACCTGACGAAAAGGTATAAGACAAGGTCATCGCAACCGTTGTCTGGGTTCGGGAGTCGGTTACGCAAGGGGAAGGTATTAGCACCCCTCACGTCCGTCGTACTCTACGGGATCCACGCTTGTTGTGTTTACTAGACGGGTTGGTTTTATCTATCTACCTATCAAGGCTGGCTTAAAAAGAAAAGAAAAATGACTCGGCAAAGCGTCGCGCTTTATGCCTACGTATTCTCATCAGAGAATGAGAAATCAGAGTCAACGTAGTTCGACCTACTACGGGTTACGGGAAAGGTGGCTCGCCAATACATCAGTATTGTGCCTACGTACTCTCAACAGGTATGAGAGATCAGAGCTTACGTAGTTCGGCCTACTACGGGTTACGGGAAAGGTGGCTCGCCAATACATCAGTATTGTGCCTACGTACTCTCAACAGGTATGAGAGATCAGAGCTTACGTAGTTCGGGATAATATGGATTACGGGAATTCAGATTCATCTGTTTTTATCGAGTAGGGTTAAACAGCAGTTCCAGCAGTTAGGGACAAAGCCTGTTTGCGGTGGCGCTGAAGTTTAACGACACTCTTTTCTTCAGAAAAGCTTCCTTTGAATTATGGGCCCACGAGGCAAAAAGGTTTGAAGTTTGTTTTCTGTCTTTTACGAAAGAACTGTTTTTTATGGTTGTTTGCAACTAGTATCGCACTAGAGACTATGACCTGAGAGTGAATGTGTCACATGTCACCCAAAGGGTACCATACTAAACATCCAAGCTGTCGAAAAGAAACTCTCCGACAACCCTTTCTCAGATAGCTTAAGGCTCGTAACGTACAATGTCAGTTAACCTTTATTACTGTATCTTAATTTGTTTTGAGATGAGAAGAGAACAGGCTCAACTAAAGGGAGACTATCAAGTCCTAATGTTGTCATGCCAAGGATTCATCCTATGATTGAGGTTTGAAACAGGGAACTCCTAGAAGTTATCATGCATAGGTTTCAACCTAAAGTTTTAATCATCACTTCCTTGTCAAAGGAAGTGAGATTCCTAAGGGATCATGTCAATGATAAGCAGAAACAAATAAAGCATCAGCTTAAACAGTAAACAGTAAACGACTGTAAAATGTATGCAATGCAAGTGAGGGAGGAAATGTGTGTGGGGCATCAGCCTCCACAAGCTCATCTCAACCTCAAGCCAGATATGAATAACTGTAATCATACAGAAGAAATAAAATAAAGTGCTATCAAGCAAGATATCAGTGACTGCAATCATACAGAGGAAATGAAATGCTATCAAGCAAACACAAACCACATGGGCAAGGGAGCTGGGCTCTACCGAATACCTGCAAGCAAAGCCACACAGTAAAAATACAAGCAGAGGGAGCAACTCAACCTCTAGTGCAATCATGCTCCTAGTTTACATCAGTCTAGATATGGACT